TTCTTCACAGAAATAGAACAGATAATCCTAAAATTTATATGGAACAACAAAAGATCTCGAATAGCCAAAGCAACCCTGAGAAAAAAGAACAAAGCCGGAAGTATCATAATCCCTGAATTCAAAATATACTACAAAGCTATAGTAATAAAATCAGCATGACACTGGCAGAAAAACAGACACACAGATCTATGGAACAGAATTGAGAGCGCAGAAATAAACCCATACATACATGGACAGCTAATTTATTTCTTAAACACATTTTTTTAAATAGTTACTCTCACTCTCTCTTCTTTTCGCTTGGAAAGATTTGCTCTGAACTATCTGTTGCCAATCTTCCTCTCTTTTTTTTTTTCTTTTTCCTCCCCAAAGCCCCAGTACATAGTTGGATATTCTAGTTGTAGCTCCTTCTAGTTCTTCTATGTGAGCTGCTGCCACAGCATGGCTACTGACAGATGAGTGGTGTGGTTCCACACCCGGGAACCGAACCTAGGCTGCTGAAGTGGAACACACCAAACTTTAACCACTAGGCCATCAGGGTTGGCTCTGGACAGCTAATTTTTTTAAAGATTTTATTTTTCCTTTTGCTCCCCAAAGTCACCCAGTACATAGTTGTATATTCTAGTTGTAGGTCCTTCTAGTTGTGGCATGTGGGACACCACCTCAGCACGGCCTGATGAGTGGTGCCATGTCCGCACTCAGGACTCGAACCGGCGAAACCCTGGGCCACCAAAGCAGAGCCCACGAACTCAACCACTCAGCCGTGGGGCTGGCCCCTGGAGAGCTAATTTTTGACAAAGGAGCCAAGAACATACAATGGAGAAAGGAAAGTCTCTTAAATAAATGGTGTTGGGAAAACTGGACAGCCACATGCAAAAGAAGGAAAGTAGACTACTATCTTACATGATACACAAAAATTAACTCAAAATGGATTAAAGACTTGAATCTAAGACCTGAAAGCATAAAACTCCTAGAAGAAAACATAGATAGTATGCTCTTTGACTTTGGTCTTGGCAGTAACTTTTTGAATATCAAGTCTCCTTAGGGAAGAGAAACAAAAGAAAAAATAAACAAATGAGACTACGTCAAACCAGAGATAACTTTTTATCTGAAAGACTTACCTGCATGGCAAGACAAACATCTGATTACCAAACATCTGCTCTTCTTATTGTCCTGTGAATTGCCCTCTTCCCCTTTGCAGCCTCAGACCCCTAACCCTTTCCTTAGCTCAGGATGGCATATAAGCCTCAGTTGCCTGACTGCTTTTGGGTCCCATATTTTTGTGGGGCTCCTGTACATACAAAATTAAATTTGTTTTTCTCCTGTTAATCTGTCTTATGTCAATTTAATTATTAGACCAGCCAAAGAAGCTAGAAAGGTAGAAGGAAAATTTTTCTGCCCTGACACTAGAATGAACCACGTGGTGCTGGAATATCAGTATGAATTCATTTATCTTAAAAGATATACAGATGGATAGATACAGAAATAATTATAAATATGTGTGTATACATGGGTTAGTATACATACATCTATTTCCTAGCTCCTAGGATTATAAATATGGTCAAAAGACAAGTGACAAACTGGGAGAAAATATATGCAACATATATTACAGTAAAGTGTTAATATCCTCAATATACAAAGAACTCTTGAAAATTGAGGGAAAAAGTTCAAAAATCCAATAGAAAAGTGGGCAAAAGATGTGAGCAGACAACTCACACATTAGAAAAGGATATTAAAATGGTCCTTAAATATACGAAAAACATAATCTCACTCATAATTAGAGAAATACAAATTAAAACCACACTAAGAGAATGGATAAACAAATTGTGGTATATCCATACTGTGGAATCATACTCATCAATGAAAAGGAAAAAAATACTGATACACACAGCAACTTGGATGAATTTCAAAAGCATTAGGCTGAGTGAAAGAAGCCAGACATGAAAGAGTGCATACTGTTTGATTCCATTTGTATGAAATTCTATAAAAGACAGATATAATCTACAGTGACAGAGAGCCAATCCATGGTTGCCTGAGGTGGGTGGTGGGGATGGGGCACAAAGGAACCTTTTGGGGGTGATGGAAATACTCTATATATTGATTGTGGTGGTGGTTACAAGGTTGTATACATCTGTCAAAACTCGCTGAACTGCACCCCTACAATAAATATATCTATCTATCTAGATATAGATACGTAGAGAGAGAGAGAAAGAGAGAGAGAGAAGCTCAATAAAGTTCAAGAAATTACAAAAGAAAAAAATAGCCCTGGATGAAAACACTTCCCCACAGCAGGCAAATCATTTACTCCTACAAAAATGAGAAGAAAAAAAAAAAACTACAATGAGATACCATTTCTTACCTCTCAGATCGGAGACAATTTATAAATACAACAACACAGTCTGTTGGAGAGGCTGTGGAGAAACAGGCACTCGAATACCTTGCTAGTGGGAATGAAACTGAACAGCCCTTTTGGGAGGAAATTTGGAAACACATAACAAAACTACGTATGCACTTTTTGATGCATATCAAATAATAAATAATAAATAAATTATTTATTAGATAATTTATTTATTAGATTTATCAGATAATAAAAAAATAGATATATGTACAAGGGTGTTCTTTTTGGCATTGTTTATAATTGCAAAATATTGAAAATAACTTACATGGGCAAACATAGGAGAGTGGTTAAATTATGATACATCTATAAGATGGGGTACTATGTAGCTGCAAGGAGACACTATCAAATGAAAAATGCAAAGTATGCTACCATTCATGTAGGATAAGTAAGATATACAGGTATTGGCTCATTCGTGCAAAAGGAAACACAGAAAGGATAAGGCAGAAAGCAAACAGATTGGTTACCTCAACAAGAGTGGGAGGGGCAAAATGGGATTCAAACAGAAGCAAAGGGACCTAACCGAATTTCAAATGATTCACACAGCCTCACTGAAGAGGCCTGGGAGGGGGAGAACTAACCCAAGTATTTATCTATTTATTTTTTTTTGGTGAGGAAGATTGGCCCTGAGCTAAGATCTGTGCCCGTCTTCTTCCATTTTGCATGTGGGATGTCACCACAGCATGGCTTCATGAGTGGAGCATAGGTGGGCACCTGGATCTGGACCTGAGAACCCTAGACTGCCAAAGAGAGTGCATGAAATTAACCACTACGCCACTGGGTGGCCCCCCCAAGTAATTTTTGAACACAGTATTTTGACTACCATCAGATTAAAGACAAAAGGAACTGCATCAAATATTGAAACTGTAGTAGGCTTACTAAACAAGTATTTTGACTATAGACCACCATGAGCCTAAAGACAAAAGAAACTGTAAAAACAAGTATTGACCTCTAGTTGGTAGATTAGTTTTTCACAGCCTTATGCGTTAGTAATTCTGGTTACTTAATGTGTAGTATATGATTACACAAATAAGTAAACTTATTGTAAATAATGGGAGCCAGTTTTCTTCCTGTTGGAAAAGGGATTTACAAATGTGGAAAGTGAGAAAACTAGAATGAACCTTGAGTTGTTGAGTTGAAATGGAAGGTATTAATAATGAATTTATGTTTTAAAAATATATATTCCTATAGCAATATATATAAATAGACACAGATACGTGTGTACAGATGGATTAGAATACATACATATATTTCCTAGCTTTGTACACTGAGAGGTTCTAGAAACAATTACACCCTAGTAGCAATGAACACTTTCTCAACTGGGGCTGAAAAAGAATAAGGTGAGTCTGGATCATCTTGTAGTGCCAGAAAGCAAGGAAGTGCTAAAAAAAATAAACGAAAAATGATGGGGCATGTCAAAGAGACACAGAAGTCAACTTGAAGAAGCTCCCACTGGCCAAATCTGGGACAATTTGAGGGTTAAAGGAAATAATGATAGTGATTGATTATAATTCATTGAATAAAATAAGAACATGAGTCTGTATAAATATAAATACATAAATAAATGGGAGAGAAGAGAAAGCTCTTCCTTATAGTAGAATAGCAACTAATAAATATTAAAAGAATGTTGGTGTTAGAAAATCATCAACGGATGCTGAAGCCAACGGTTCAAAAATTTTAGAGAGAATGTTAAAGCAAAGGTGGCAAAATGTAAACAATTGATGAATCTGGGTAAAGGGTGCATGGAATTCCCTTGTACCATTCTTGCTTTTCTGTACGTTGAAACTGACAGCAAAATTAAGTCACCGGCACATCCCCCTCCAAAAAAAAGAAAGATAAAGAAAATAGGGAGTATTTTAGTACTGGAATGTTGTTGCTAAACATACTTCCTAACTTTTTTCTTTCTCAAATAAAAACTACTGCTTGGGTGGCAGGTTTGTAGAGGGGGCCCGGGAAGCTTAAGAGAGGCCTATAATGCATTTTAATACTTATTTGGATGTTCCTGGTGTTTCGCCATCCTGTTTTTCTTTTGTTTTGTTTGTTTTTTAAATGAAGCTGTTTCGTTTGACTCACTGCCATCCTTTCAGGTATTTTAAATTTACTGGTGGCTAGGCATTTACCTAACGATGTGCACCATCCTGTTAATAAAATCAGCGTCAATTTTTTTTTTTAAAGGCTAGGGGCTCCACAAGAGGCGGGATTCCCCTTTGGGGTCACCCGGAGGAGGGCGGGATCAAGACCTGCGCGAAGCTTCCGCTTTCATTTCTACGGTTATTAAGTCAACAATTCTCATTAAAGGAGTACCGCGGAAGGGTGATTTTCTGTCGGCACACACTTCCCTAGCGACGAGTCCACCTATAGCACAGGGATGCCATAGTGTCGCATCACAATGGGTAGTCTAAAAGAGCTCAAAAGTCAGATCAGATGACCTAGATTCTGGTAAAACATTAAATTGCAATTCATCTGACCCGTCAGTTTCATTCTCTTCTCTCCGTCTCCAAAATGCTGAACTTCCGGAGTAGACTCCTCCCCCTCCATTCCTGGCCAGTGGTTTGGTCCGATCCTAATACTGACAGGGGGACGAACTGCGTCTGCGCAGAAAGCTGTTGGGGGGGGTGGGGGGGAGGAACATGGCGCAAGCTCTGTCTGAGGAGGAGTTTCAGCGGATGCAGGTGCCACTCGCCGGGGAAAAGACCACCGGACTAGGCGACGGGGGGCGGGGTAGAGAGAAATCGTGCCACCGGCTCTGAGAAGGGGTTGGTTGGGATGGACCTTGAGTCTAAGGGGTTGGTCTGGAGAAGGGAAACTGAGGCTCTGAGTGGTGAGACTGTTGGATTCCTGGATACTGTTGGGTTCTGAGGGGTTGGATTCTATTAGCCTGAGGGGAGAGTCCTAGAATGGGCGATACTTAGCCCTGGCAGGGACGAGACCCTTGGGCCCGTGCGAGGGCCACCATGGGTGGGTGATGATAACGCTGGGCTTCAAGGGAAGGAGATTTTGAGAGGGCGAAACCATTTTGTCTGGAGAGGAAGGAAGCAGGCGTTGGGCCGTTTGCGTCATTGTGGGGGGAGCCCTTGAAAGGGCAATACCATTACCCAGTAGGAGGTGGAAGTTTTTGTGGGAGGCACCACTATGCCAGGGGATTGGGGAAAGACCCCACATGGTGTCCTTGTTCCTGGGAGGTGGAGATCCTGTGTGAGTGGTGGTAATGTATCCCAAGAAGGGGTGGTATCATTGGATGATTAGGGGTGATCCCTTTAGGCCTGGGGTGAAGAAGGCCCTGAATAGGTAATACCATTAATCCATGTTGGGGAGAGGACCAGAGAAGATGAAAGAGTGATACATTGGATGGTATGGAGGGGAGATCACGGGGCTTTGGGGAAGTATCCTGTCTGGGTACTCTGACCACTTGATTCTTTTGGGGAGTAGTCTGAGATGAGATGAAAGGCCAGAGTGGGCCCTTGTTGAGAGAGTTCCTTACTGGGAAAGGCCGTTGGATTCTGTGTGTGGGGAGACTGAAAGGGGGAAACCCTGAGTAGGGTCCTATGGGAGGAGAGGAGGAACTCTGAGTGAGGACAGGTAATGGGGAATTGTCCCTGTGTGAGGGATCCTGAGGGTGGAAGGGTGATATCATTGGACCGCAAAAGGGGAAGACCTCTGTAACTTGTGCAGGGGATTCTGAGTGAGTAAGAGTAATCCAACTGGCCCATCCAAGTACTTGTGGAGGAAAGACCCTGAAGGATATAGGGCCATCGCATTGGGTCATAACTGGGGAGATCTTGAGGGGTGTGGGGGACTCTTGAGTGAGAAGATTGATTCCATTGGGCCATGAATGAGGGAAAAAACACTGGGCTCTGATGGATAGGGACTCCAAATGGGTGCCAAGGATGTTCCAATTGGATCAGGACTGGGGGAGACAGATCACTGGGTCCAGGAGAGGACAGGGACAGGAAAGATTCTGTAGAGGCCAAGCCTTCTTACCTTTAGCAGACCACCAGGGGGTGGAGGCTGGTGCCATAGGAGGGAGGCATAGGTCTTGGTGAGGAAAGGGACAGTGGTTCTGGGAAGAACTGGCCTCAGTGCCCTACAGGGCTCATAAGCAGGGGTATACTGTTTGGAATGGCCCTTACTTCACTTTCCCTCGATTCTTGAAAGGGGTCTGGCCATGTTTTGAGAGTCTTGCGAGTGGGCACCCTGAGCAGCCCCCTTTTACTCAGTGAAATTGGTCAGGAGAATACCAGGCCCTCTTCCCTTGGGAAAGAGGGAGGAAGGCAAGCTCCTGCCCCCTGCTCTGGCCAAGAAGATAGACAACACTCACTCCTGACAGAAAGACAGAACAATGTTTAATGTGTGATGAGGTCAGCCAGGATGAAGAGGAGGAACTTTATCCTATGGGACTAGAGAGCCATGGAACACACATGAGCAAGAGCCTGACTGGGTCAGCACTCTGTCATGGCCTGAGTGCAGAGTGGATTGGAAAGGGAGAGGTGGGAGCAGCAGAGAGACGGAGAGGTGAGACTGGCTGTGGTTATAAGTAGAACCGGAGAAGGTGGGACAGGGGCTGAGGGGCTGGAAAGTCATTTAGGATGTAGCGTGCACAGGTCTTAAGAGTGACTAAAGAGGCACATGGAGGGCAGCAGGGTCCGTGGGGCTCAGGGGATTGGCTCTCTCATGGTGAGGGTAGGGGGACATTCCTGACCAAGTCATTTCTCTTCCTTGCTTCCCTCTAAGGCTCAGCTCCTGGAACTCCGGACAAACAACTACCAGCTTTCAGATGAACTACGCAAGAATGGTGTTGGTGAGCCAAGAGGGTCTCATTAGATAGGGGTGGCTCTGGGGGACAGAGGCTAAGGGAAAGAGCCTCAGAGGCCTGGCAGGAAGACTTGTCAGCTCCTTGCCACTGACTGAGGCTGAGACTCCCTGCTTTCCCCACACCAGAACTCACCAGCCTTCGACAGAAGGTCGCCTACCTGGATAAGGAGTTCAGCAAAGCTCAGAAGGTACCTCCCTCCACCCACTCACCCACCTGTGCTTCCCTGTACCCATCTGACTCACTCATCTATCCAGTGACCACCTACAGTGAACCAGACCTCATGTTACATGCTGTCATTAGTCATTCAAAAAATTCTCATGGAGTCTCTTTAGTCTGCTACTTCTATGTAATCCTGCTTAATTTATTAATTTTAATTTACTCTGAATTCATTTTTAATTTAAATTACTTATTCACTGACTTTTAACTGAATAGTCAAATCTATCAGTAAATCTGCCTTGAATCTGCCTCCTATCCTCCACCCTCGCTCCTGCCTTGTGCTCCTACTTCCCATCCCTGCCCTGGTCCTGTTGGTAAAGTGAGACTAAACCTACCTCTCAGATCCTCTGAAGATGAGATAGCATAGAACCTATTGTGGCCCCTCGAGGCATTCAGGGCCCTTCTTTGTCTCTTTCTTCACTGCTCTGTCCCCTTGCATAGCACAATGTTATACATAGAACGTGCTCCATAACTATGTGTTAGATGAAGGAATACAGAATGCAGAAAGTCTGGCAGTCAGGAAGCTGGGCTTCTCTTTGGTGGGGTGCTGATTCCCCAACCTTGCAATGCCCTTGGCTGCCCAGAACGGGAGCAGCAGTTTCCACGGTGCGTGGGAGGGATCCACATAGACGTATTTGGACAGATACAGCAATGAAGCCACACAGTTTCTGAGCCTGGAGACCCAGCCCATGAAGGGTTGAATACTAAGACCTATGAACAGCCTCAAGAGTTTAGAGGAAAAGATAAGCAGAATGCTCCTTCATACACTTCCTCTATTGCTCCATCATTCCTGTGGGCTACAAATTGTCATGCAAATTCTGTGCTTGAAGATATTCCCATCCCCCAACCCCTGTTATCATTGGCCGCCCTTGACACTTGCCACAATGTCACCATACCCTAGTGAGGGAGTCCATCTCTGTACGCCTTATCTCTCTTCCCACCCTTCTTACCTTTAGGCACTGAGCAAGAGCAAGAAAGCTCAGGTAAGGGGAGCCATGGGGTGAATGTGTCTGGGAGACTGTGTCTTAGCGGGGATGTTTCTGTATGCTGGGTTCTCCTTGTGCTGGCCTTTCTTTCTCTTTGTGTGCACTTGCATCTGTGACTACCTCACTGCCATGTGTTTCTCTGTCTGTCTTTGTTTTCCTGTGTTTGTCTCTCACTCCATGTGTCTCTCTCCGTGTCTTTCCTTCTCTCTTTCTATCTCTTTATCCTTCTCTCTGAGTCTCTCTCTGTCTCAGTCTTCCTGTTCCTCTCTCTCTCTCTGACTCTTATTTCTCTCCCCAACCTTCTCTTTGTCACTCCCTCACCTGTTCCCATCTCTCCCATCATTTCTCTCTTTTTATCTTTCCCTGTCTTTATCTCTCTCTTTCTCTCTGGCTTCTTGTTTTTCTCTCCCCCGTTTCTCTGCCTCTTCCTGAGTTCTTTCTTTCCCTGACCCCCCTCTCTCTTCTCTCTCTGTTCTGTTCTCCTCTTGTTGATCTCTCTATTCCTATCTCTCTATCTTCCTGCCTTTTCTTTTTCTCTCTCTCGCTGCCCATCCCTCTGTCTTCTGCTCTCTATCCCCCTTTCCACATTTCTCTCTAATTCCCCCTCCCCTATTTCTATCTACCCTTCTTTTTCCTCTCACTCTCTCCCCCCATGTCCCTCTTTCCCTCCCTATCGTCCCTTCTCTCTACCTCCCATGTCCCTCTTTCTCCCTCCCTGTCTCCTCTTTTATCCCTCCCTGTATCTCTCTCTCCCACTATCTTCTGATTTCACCCATCTCATTCTCTGTACCCTGTGTTCTTCCCCCAATGTCATTTTCTCCCTTTCTCTGTTTCTTTGCCCTACCTCTCCATCATTGGGGCCCCTGTTGGAGACCTGGCCCCTGTCTGCCACTGCAGGAAGTCGAGGGGCTGTTGAGTGAAAATGAGATGCTACAGGCAAAGCTGCACAGCCAGGAGGAGGACTTCCGTTTGCAGAACAGCACGCTTATGGCTGAGTTCAGCAAGGTACTGGTGCCCGGGATAGCCGAGGGGGCTCTGAGGAGTAGGGGTCTCCTGGACTGAAGCCGGAGGGCAGCTGAGGGTGGTTGGACAGAGGCTGGCCCTGGACCACTGTCCATGGTGCTGAAACAGGTGCTGGATCTCTGCTGGGGGGCAGCAATCTGACAGATAGGGCCACCCACTGTGCTGGGATGAGAAGACTGCAAGCCCTGAGGTCAGCTGGTTCCTGGCCAAGTCACTCCTTTTCTCTGAGCTACAAGTCTCCTTGTGTATATTTTGGGGCTGATGCTATGGAGCCCCAGGGCGCTGAGGGGTCTTAGGTAAAGTTATGCTTAACATGGGATGGAAAGATATTCGAGCTGCTTCCCTGTTCTCTTCCTTCCCTTCATCTGACATGAGCCTGGGGTTGTAGTTCTTCTAGATAATTCATCCTGGATTGGATAATTCTGTCTCCTCACTGATTTTAGTCTCCTGGCTGTTTCTAAACCGACTGGGTAGTTGAAGACATTGTCTTTTGTTCCCTTATCTGTCTTCTGTATCCATGGTCAGTAATTTTCTAAGTTTTTGGTGTGTTTTAAGGAAAAAATCTCACAGCAGCAAAAATGGTATTTCCAAGGCTCTCCCTGAGAATGTAGTACTTAAGACCTTAAAAAAACAAAACAAACCAAAAAAACAACCTTTATGCAGGTACAATACCAGGAGAGGCAACTGAGCAAGTCGTAGTTAAGAGCTAGAAGGCCTGCATTAAACTCTTGGCTCTATCTTTTACTAACTGTAATCTTGAGCAAGTCACTTGTCCTGCCAGTTTCTTGGTTCCAAAATGTCTAAAATGGAAATGATAATAATGACAGTACCTGCCTGGCAGAGCTTTTGTGAGAATTGAATGGGTTAATGTCTGTAAACCACTTAGAACAGAGCCTTGCAGGTAGTATCAACTATGTAAGTGTTAGTTACTAATAGTATCCTTTTACTAATTCACCTTCCCACTAAAATATTTCTTGACTATTTAAGAGTTTTATATCTATTCTGTGGCCCTGCCTTCCCTCAACCCTTACCACCTTTCACCTGCTGTATTCCCACAGCCTTCTTGCTGGTCTCCTCGTTTCTAGCTTCTTCTACCAGTCCAAGCCATAAAGGTTTTCCTGACCCACAGGTCTCACCACATCACTCCTTTAAACAACACCTCCCAGTGGATCCTTGCCCCCAACAGTTCAGAGCCCCTGGTGCTCACATAACAGCCAACCTCCTTGCCTTGCTTCTCACTGCTTCCTGCCTCCAGCCTCAATGGTATCGTGATTTCTTGTGGTGTGAGGCAGAGGCAGGCATCCTCCATAAATCCTGCTTGTCTTTCCCAGCACCTGCCCTGGGCAAGGCACTGGGCCAGATATAGAACCTCCTCTATAGTCCCCCTTCTCCTCCTCCCAGGAACTGCAAGTGCTTACAGAGAGACCTGGGTTCAAGGCCTGCCTCCACCACTTATTTGCCAAGATATTTCCAGTCAATTGTTACTTCAACAAATAGTTATTGAACACCCACTCTGTGCTCTGTGTTTTGGAAATAGTTGTGAGCAGCACAGAATGGTCCCACTCTTGGGTAGCTTACATTCTGGGGTTGGATGGGGAGACGGATGATAACATAGTAAACAAATAGTACTGATCGCTGACAGTTATAGAGCATTTCCTGTGTGCCAGGTCCTGTTTGATGTGCTTTACATTACTCACTCATTTAATCCTCGCAACAAACCTGTGAAATATTACTAATAGTATCTCTATTTAACAGATGAGGAAAACAGCACCAGAGGATAAAGTAATTTGTCCCAAGGTCACATGGCTAGTAAGTGGCAGAGTAGAAATTCACATCCAAGCAGTCTGGTTTTAGAATTTGTGCTTGTGACCCTGCTCCAAAATAAAATTTAATTGTCAATCATAGTTTATGATCCAAAATTTTTCAGGGCTTTAAGAAATTGCAAACATATTAGGCAAATTTCATTGTGATTAGGTGAGAAAGAAGCGAACAGAGTGCTGTGCTGGAGAGTATTGGAATTTCTGTGTTGGGGAATACTACTTGAAAGGGGACATTTTAGCAGAGCCCTGAAGGATGCAAAGAAGCCAGTCATGTGAAGAACTGGATGAAAGGAATAGTATTCTCAGTAAAAAGTATTCCAGGCAATAAAATAAAAATCTCTGTGGGCCTCCGTATTCTCATTTGAAAATGGGAACAGAGGATCTTTTCTTTTTTTATTATTATTTTTTTATCTTTTTACATTTATTTTTTTAAAGATCTTATTTTTCCTTTTTCTCCCAAAGCCCCCGGGTACATAGTTGTGTATTTTTAGTTGTGGGTCCTGCTAGTTGTGGCATGTGGGACGCCACCTCAGCATGGCCTGATGAGCCATGCCATGTCCGCGCCCAGGATCCGAACTGGCGAAACCCTGGGCTGCCGCAGCGGAGCGCGCAAACTTAACCACTCAGCCACGGGGCCAGCCCAAGAGGATCTTGTCAGGTCTGCTGTGAGAACTGTATTTTAGCCAGGAGTTGAGCACGGGGCTGGCTTAGTCTTATTTGCATTGTACACCTCTCCAAGACCAAAGGCTGACAGTGGGGAGCTGAGGGCAGTGGTGGCCCTGGAAATGCCCTAAAAGCTGTCTGGTGCCTAGGCTTCCAGACACAGACCCCTCTACAGAAGAGAGCTGGCAGTGGGGCTGTCCATGATGCTGACATCTTGGACCAGCAACTTCTAGAGGAGCCTGAGGCCTTGGATTGCGACTGTGAGGCTGGGAGTGGGCAAGCAGAAAATTGTTCTCAGTATTCTCAATCCTCTGTGACTCTGCCACTGAACATATGTGTGAATTTGAAGTTGTTTATGGGGCCGGCCCGGTGGTGCAGTGGTTAAGTGCGCACGTTCCGCTTCTCAGCAGCCCAGGGTTCGCCGGCCCGGATCCCGGGTGCGGACATGGCACCGCTTGGCAAAAAGCCATGCTGTGGTAGGCATCCCATGTATAAAGTAGAGGAAGATGGGCACGGATGTTAGCTCAGGGCCAGTCTTCCTCGGCAAAAAGAGGAAGATTGGCAGTAGTTAGCTCAGGGCTGATCTTCCTCAAAAAAAAAAAAAAATAGAAGTTGTTTAACATCTGTGTCTCAGTTTCCTTATCTCTGAAGTGGGCATAAAGAATAATGAAAGCATCTATGTCACAGGGGCATTATGGGAATTAAATGAATTGTAAAGTGCATGGGCCAAGTGCTATATTTCAGTGAATGTTGTTCTGATTCTCTACTTTTCTGCTACCTCACTCTTCCCTTGCTAAGCTCTGCAGCCAGATGGAACAGCTGGAGCAGGAGAACCAGCGACTGAAGGATGGGGCTGCCAGGGCAGGGGCTGTCCAAGCTGGGAGCCTTGTGGATGGGGAGCTGCTAAGACTGCAGGCGGAGAACACAGCCTTGCAGAAGAACGTGGCAGGTGCATGGAGGCCCTCCTGGGGATGTGGGAGGTTGGGGCTTGAGTAGGGTGTTGTCCTCCTGGGGGTAGGGGAGAGGCTTCAGAATCAGGCTTGGCCCTGCTGTGAACGAGTGTATGACTTTGGACAAGCCATTTCACCTCTCTGGGCCAGGCCTTCCTCATCTACAAAGTACATGTAGTGATGTCCACCACCTGGAAGATTGTGGTAGAGATAAGAGGTGGTATCTTTCTGAGTTTAGTTCAATGCCTGGTACCTAGCAAATGTTACAGATTAGCAGATTGAACACCAGAAAGGAGATGTTTGCTAAATGGAGAAAGTGAATGAAGGGGCATTGGGAGGATTCTGACTTTTGGAGAGCAGCTGGGGCTTGCGGGGTGGTGGGTGGTAGTTTGGTGATCAGGAGAGAGACTTTGTAGAATGTGGCTGGGGATTAGGAGGTTATAGGAGTATTCAGCTGTGAGTAGGGGTTGGAGGATGGTGGGCGTCACCTTGGAGGACTATGGATGGGGCTTGGGGGATGGAGGGTGGGGCGTGGGAAACCAGCTTGGACTGATTTGATGGTAGACAGGATTTCAGTGGTTGGGGGGCTTAAAAGATTTATGAGAGGTGTGGATGGAGCTGAACCTTTGTTTTGTAGGCTTGTGATCATTTGGGGCAGGGTCTCTGCTGCCTGAGGGGTCAAAGACCAATTTTTCCCTCTATTTGAGGCATGGCAGGGGTCTTCGGAGACCACCTTATCCATCATATATCTCACTTCTACCCACCAGCCCTGCAGGAGCGCTATGGGAAAGAGGCCAGGAGGTCCCCACCTGCCAGTGAGGGCCAAGGGGACCCCCCGGGGGGCCCAGCCCCCGCTGTCCCGGCCCCCATGCCGTTGGCAGAAGTGGAACTGAAATGGGAAATGGAGAAGGAGGAAAAGAGGTTGCTCTGGGAGCAACTGCAAGGCTTGGAGGTAAATCTGGGTCTGTTGGGACTGGGGTGCCAAGAGGCAGGCAGATGCTGTAGCTCTGCCTGTGGTCCCACAAAGATGTCTGTGACATCACCACCTCAGTGGGTTGATGGATTAGGGAGGCAGGAGGGCAGAGAAGGCACAGGCCTTACCTCCCCCTTGCTGATAAGAACCCCCTCCCTCATCCTTTCCTGCAGAGCTTGAAGCAGGCCGAAACGTCCAGGTTGCAGGAGGAACTTGCTAAGGTGGGGCTGCTGATCTTTCCCTGGACTTTGCCCTATCCCACTCCCCAACTGCCATGCTTCCCCTGGCAGGGCAGAAGGGGCAAAGTACCCCCTCAAAGCCTCAGTTTCATCATTTGTGAAATGGAGAGACTCACATTTATGTCTCAGAGTTTCTTTCAACATGGAGTGGGCTAATGTGGTCACTTTCTGTCTTGTGCGTGGCAGACCCCATCCCTTCCTTCTATGTCCTCCTTGCTTTGCTTGTTCATCCATCCGTACATCCATCCATCCATCTATCTATCCATCCAAGCATTTGTAGACTGCTGGCTTTTGTCTTAGGAACTGGACACCCAGTGGTGAGGCAGCCAATCATGGTCCTGCCTTCCAGGCCTCCCAGCCTCGCCATTCTGTGTCGTGGCCATTGGTCAATGTGTTGGGGGCATAAATACTGGGCTTTGAAGTCTGAGGGAGCTGGCTGGAGATCTTACTGCTGCTGCTGACCAGCTGGGCAACCAAATGACTTAACCCTTCTGAGATTCAGTTTCCACATTTGTAAGACCAGTAGTACTCACTTCTCAGGACTGTTTTGAGGATTCCGTGAGATAACATAAGTAAATTTTGGCTTCCAAGAAGGACTTAGTAAGAAGTATCTGTAAATGTTAAGTTTATTTTTGGTTTTGTTAATATTATTCTCATTGTTATTACTTGTCTGCACCCCCTCCCCCACCCCAGCTCTCCGAGAAACTGAAAAAGAAACAAGAAAGGTAAATTTCTTTTTTCCAGAGTTGGGGGAAGGGTTTTTGGGGGACTAGGGAGAAGATTGACTTGTGGAACTGGCCCATCTATGTCTGTCTTTCTGTGCCTAGTTTTTGCCGTCTGCAGACAGAAAAGGAGACACTATTCACTGACAGCCGGTAACTACCGGGCCTGGAGGTGTTGGTGGGCAATGGGAACAGTGCCTAGCAAAATTAACTGAAGACCACAGGGGCAGAGCTGGGGGACTGGGCCTCAGGCCATGGTCACTGCGCCCTCCCCTCACTCCCAGGAACAAGATTGAGGAGTTACAACAGCGGAAGGAAGCTGATCTCAAAGCCCAGTTGGCTCGAACTCAGAAGCTGCAGCAGGAACTCGAGGCTGCCAATCAAGTGAGTGGCTGGGTTCTGAGATCGCTGGGATAAGGACCAGGGCTGGGATAGGGACCAGGGCTGGGAGTCCTGGGAGTTCTGAGACTAGCTGGGAAGTCTGACATTTCCTGCGCTGGAAATTTAGGGACTGAATGGGTCCTGGGCCCCCCAGGAGCTAGGAAAACAGGAATCAGGGAGCCCCGAGACCCCTAGGAGTTGGGCTAGGAGTCTGCATGAATCGAAGATCTCAGGGGACCTGAGGACTTTGGGGCTGTGTGCCACAAGTTTAGATGAATCTGAAACTCTGGAGGATTGGAGACAGGAGTCTGGAGAAAGCCATGGTCACTGGGGACAGGAGTTGGAGTGAGTCCGAACTCCCTGGAGGTTGGGTGACTTTGAGACCTCTAATGGTTGAGTAGATGCAAAGACTTTCAAGGGTGGGACAGTGGGGCATGGAGGCTAAGTGCATTTGAGACCCTCATGGTATAGGGGCTGATTTGGGTCTGAGACACCCAGGAAGTTGTGTCACATGGGCTAAGTGGTCCTGAGACCTCTGGGGGCCGTGAATAAAAAGTTGGTGAGTCTGAGACATCCATAGACTGGAGCAAAAGTCTAGGTGGGTCTCAGGCTCCTGAGGGTTGGGGGTTGGGTGACTAAAGCTTCTAGGCTTCCTGCTAGAGTGGATGAGTCTGAGATCCCTTGGATTGGGGGATATGGTGGCTTGTGGGTCTAAGGCCCCTAGGAGCTGAGGACAGAAGCCTGGGTAAAGCTGGATCTTCAGTTAGCTGGGTCCGAAGATCCCCAGAGACTGGGGACAGGAGTGGCAGATAGGGGGTCAGTCTGAGACCTCACCAGGAGCGGGGAACTGGAAGACTGTATGAGTTTGAGACCTCTGTGGTCTGGAGCTGTGAGTTTGGGTGGGTCTGAGACTTTTGGGAGCTAGGGACATGGGGGTTGAGTATGCCAGAACCCCCGGGGGTTGGGGTCAGGAGTCTGGGTGAAGCTGTAGTCCCTAGGGGCTGAGTGTGTCAGAGAATCCTGGGGCCTCTGAGCTGGAATCTGGGTGAGTGTGAGACCTCTTATGGATGGGGGCTGAGTGAGTTTGAAATCCGCAGGAACCTAGGTGTTTTCTGAAATGCTTGGAGCTGGTATATAGGGGTGTCTGAGGTCCCTGGTGGTAATGACTTAGCGTCTGGGTGAGCCTGAGATCTCTGATGGCTGGGTAGTCCAAGATCCTTAAGTGCTGGGGACAAGCTGTCAGGTGGTCAAAGAGGGAGTCTGTATGGTTATATGCACCCCGGGGAGGCTGAGATCTGGAATGGGCTCCCCTGACGTGGTCCCCACAGAGCTTGGCAGAGCTGAGGGATCAGCAGCAGGGGGAGCGCCTGGAGCATGCAGCAGCTCTGCGAGCCCTGCAAGATCAGGTACATTGTACTGGGTGGGTTCAGGGAGGTGGAGGTAAGGGTGGGGGCAGCCTCAGTGAGTATTGTACAGGCAGGCAAGGCCCCGGGGGTGCTCCTTCCCCTGGTCGTGGTTCGTGTGTGTGTGTTTGTGTGTGTGTGTGTGTCCTTTCTTTCTTGACTGCGGGTAGGTCCTGTCCCCCTGTTCTGGACCCACTCTCACCTGTTTTTGGGATGAGGCCAGGTGTCCATCCAGAATGCAGGTGCACAGGAACAAGTGGAAGGACTTTTGGCTGAGAACAATGCCCTGAGGACTAACCTGGCTGCCCTGGAGCAGGTACAGGACATCTGGGAGCCCTCTCTGATCCCTCCCCGGTTCCCCATCTCCCTCTGCTTCTGATCCACATCCGGGCAGGGTAATCTGGACCTCATGCTGTTCTCCTGCCTCTGTTTCCATTTCATTTTCAGCTTCTTTCTGTTGGCTTCCACCCCTCTTCTCTCTGACCATCCATCCCTGCTTCTCTTGCATTCTAGTTTCTCTCCAGTGAAGTGCAAGAAGTATGCTAATCTTAAGTGTATACTCAGTGAATCATCTCTGTCTGTCCATCTGTCTATCTCCATGCAGCCACCACCCAGATCAAGATATAGAGCATTTTCAGCACCTCAGAAGGTCCCTTTTACCCCTTCCTCAAATCAACACTTCCCCACAAGTAACCAGTTCTCTGACCTCCAGCAACAGATTAGTTTTGCTTGTTCTTTAACTTTGTGCAAATGGAATCAGACACCCATTTTTGTGTCTGGCTTCTTTCCTGCGGCATTGTATCTGTTCTTTTATCTCTGTGTAGTATTCCATTGTACGAATATACCACATTTATTCGTTCCCCTGTTGATCTCTTTCTCTCGCCATTTGTCTCTTTGAAATTCTTTCTCTCTCCTCTTGGCTCTCTTTCCACCTCTCCCTGGAACTGGGAGGTTCACACCCTGTGACTGGCCCCTGGGGCCCCTTTCACTCTGCTTCCCATCACCACCACTTTCTCCAGATCCAAACTTCAAAGACCCAAGAACTCAATATGCTCCGGGAACAGACTACTGGGCTGACGGCTGAGTTGCAGCAGCGGCAGACTGAGTATGAGGACCTCATGGGACAGAAAGATGACCTCAACTCCCAGCTCCAGGTGATGCCTCTGGTTCCAACCTGTCTTCTCATTCCCTAGTGCTGGCTCAGTGAAATTTCCCATGAGGTGTAGTAGGAAGGCAATGGAGTCTGGAGGACCTGGGTTCCAGTCTGGCTCCGTAACTTATGAGCACCTGTGTGTTCTAGACCAAGCTGTTTCCCTCCTCTGAGACTGAGCCTCCTCAGTTAGGATAGCCATTCTGATTCCATAATAGAAAACAGGATAGTAATGGTTTCTATTAAATAAGATAGAAGTTTAGTTCTCTCATGTAAGAGTCCAGGTAGGTTGTCCAGGGATGGAACGATGGCTTTCTAATTACCAGTGACCCAGGTTCCCCTACATTGCTGTTCTGTCACCTTCAACACAAGACTTCTATCTTGGCATCCAAGATGCTTGCTCAAGCTCCCCTACCATCATGTTTGTACTCTGTCTGGAAGGCAGGAGGAAATGAGGAAGGGCCCAGCATGCCCCTTTCCTTTATGAACATAACCTAAGTTACACTCACCACTTCTGCATACAAAAATTAATGGCCACACCTAACTGCAAGGGAGGCGGGAAACGTCAGCTGGACGACCAAGTGCCCAACTCCAAAGTCTATCGATAGGGAAGGAGGGGGAGCAGCTGACAGTCTCTGCCATGTTTCTCATCTAGCAGTGGAGAGATTAGTGCTCACTTTTCCAGGGTTAAGGGAGATGGTGTACCAGAAGTGTCTTGGGTGACTTGCATCTCCTGGGGGCTGTTTATCAAACTCACTCGCTTTGTCCCTGCATTAGGAGTCATTACGGGCCAATAGTCGGCTGCTGGAACAGCTTCAAGAAATTGGGCAGGAGAAGGAGCAGTTGACCCAGGAACTACAGGAGGCTCGGAAGGTGGGCAGCGCTGGGCAGCCGTGAGGCTACAGGGGGAGGGGCTGTTGACCTCGTCTGCAGGGATGGGCCCGGTGATATGGCCAAACCCACGGGAATGGGAGGGGACGGAAAGTGACCAGTTCCCTGAGGATGAGTGAGTGACTTAGCCAGTTCTGTGGGGATGGGGAGGAGGTGGAGTTTGGCTCATTCCTTGGGCCTGGGGAGAGGGTGGTGGGCCTTGTTTGGCGCTGGGGGAGGAGGTTGACTGACATCCTCCTGCCCACCCTCCTGGCCCCCAGAGTGCTGAGAAGCGGAAGGCCATGCTGGATGAGCTAGCAATGGAGACACTGCAGGAGAAGTCCCAGCACAAAGAGGAGCTGGGAGCAGTCCGACTACGGCATGAGAAGGAGGTGCTGGGTGTGCGGGCCCGCTATGAGCGTGAGCTCCGCGAGCTGCATGAAGACAAGAAGCGGCAGGAGGAGGAGCTGCGGGGGCAGATCCGCGAGGAGAAGGTGGGTGGGTAGATGATGGTGCCCTTCTGCCCCTGAAACCTGGGGACCACAGCATTGCTGATGGGCCAGTTGATGGCGGGGGTGAGGTGCCCGCTCCTCTGCTTGCTGGCCCCTGATGCTCTGCCCTCTCCCAGGCCCGATCACGGGAGCTGGAGACTCTCCAGCAGACGGTGGAAGAACTTCAAGCTCAGGTTCACTCTATGGATGGAGCTAAGGGCTGGTTTGAACGGCGCTTGAAGGAAGCCGAGGTGAGTTGGTGCCTGGTGAGGCAGGGAGCCTGGTCAAGGGGCACCCATGCCAAACTAGGGGGGCAGGAGTGGTGAAACCCTGGGACTTTCCGAGATGCCCTGGACTTGAGAGCAACCCCTGCAGCCCCCCTAGCTCACCAGCAGCCCTCTGGAGGGGATCCAGGGATGGCCAACAGTAGGGCAGAATGTCAGATCTGCACATTTGAAAAGGCACCTCTTCCTTCTGAAACTACTCTGTCATGGAATTATCGTAATATACTGATTTTGTTTGAACAAGAACTTTTACTACCTTTTTCTGGAAAACTCATGATAATACATGAGGCGATAACACATAGCAGAGAAGAGTATAGATGCTAGAGCCAGTTGTTTGCCTGGGTTTTCAATCCTGGCTGGGCCACTTTCTAGCTGTGTGACCTTGGATGAGATATCTGACCTCTCTGTGGCCCATTTTCATGCTCAATAAAAAAGGGCTAACAGTAATACCTGCTGTCTAGGTGTCATGGGAGGGTTATAGGAAGTGAGTTAATATATGTAAAATGCCTACAATAGTCCTGGCATGCAGTAGGTGCTGTGTTCTGTTTTATTAAAATAAAATGTAAACGCTAACATCGGTCTTCGATGTGAACGGCAGAGCCCTAGACGTGACACTTCCGCATACCGCCTAAAGGCGCGCGGTATTCCCTGCAGGCGTGTCTTTTCTGCATACCTGGGAGCCCCTGCTGCAGTCCCTCACACCCTCACTGGGCGTGCTGTCTTCTTGGGGTGCGATGTCCTTTGGGGGCCGTGGCCAGGCTTGGGACTTGTCTCGTAGGAATCTCTGCAGCAGCAGCAGCAGGAACAAGAGGAAGCCCTCAAGCAGTGTCGGGAGCAGCACGCGGGCGAGCTGAAGGTGCCTCCTACAGCATGATGTTCCTCTCTCTGGGGAGGGCCAGGCCCTGCTGGGGAGACCGAGGTTTCCCAGCTGAGGCTTGAGCTGCCTTCTGCTTTGCAGAGCAAGGAGGAGGAGCTACAGAGGGTGCGGGACCAGCTCCAGCAGGCCCAGGAGGAGCAGGACTGCCACCTGAAGACCATCAGCAGCCTGAAGCAGGTCACTGTTCCCGCCACAGTCCTCAGACCCAGCCCAGGCCTCAGTGTGCAGTGATGGGGCAGGGAAGGAGCACACTGCATGCAGCCATTCCGGCACCCTCCAGCCATGCTTTCTCTATCCCTCAGGAGGTGAAGGACACAGTGGATGGGCAGCGAATCCTGGAGAAGAAGGGCAGTGCCGCGGTACGATGGGGAGGTATCCCAGCACGGCCCCCTCCTGGCCTATGGGCCCACTGGGCCTCAGCCCCCATCTTTCCCTCTGTTCCCCCACAGCTCAAGGACCTCAAGCGGCAGCTGCACCTGGAGCGGAAACGGGCAGATAAACTGCAGGAGCGGCTGCAGGACATCCTCACCAACAGCAAGAGCCGCTCGGGTGAGGGACTGGACGGCAGGGGAGGCTGAGGCGTGGGGGAGGCAGGGGAGGCAGGGGAGGTTGAGGCGGGGGGAGGCAGAGCTTAGACCTGAAGGCTGGAGCTGCTTCACATACCTCACTCCGCCAGGCTCTCCTGCGTCTCCCGTCCCTCCTGAACTTGGTCTGTCTTTTGCTTTTTCTCTCCATCTGTCTCTCCTTTCTCTCTCTGCGTTATCTCTTTCTGTGTCTCTGTCTCCTTTTTGCTGTGTCTCGTTTTCTCCCTCTGCCTCCTTGTGTCACCTCTGTCTCTGCTTTTCTCTCCCTGCTTTCTTTCTCTAGTACTCTTCTCTCCTCCCACCTTTTTCTTCTCTCTGTTCCTTTCTCACTTTCTTTCTCTCTTTCTATCTTTCTTCTTCCTCTCTTGTCTATGTCTCTGTCTGTCTTCCCACTACCCCTTCGTACAGACTTTTACACCTCACCCAGTGTCTAAATCTCTTGTATCCATTCTCTCATTCTATAAATAGGGACTAAGCCCCCACGCTCACGTCCAGGGTCCCTGATAGGAAACCCCCAAGTCTCGGTCCTCTGGGAGCTAGAAAGACAGACTTACAATCAGGCAGCAACACTGCAGTGTGATCATTATGCAGCTAAAATCCATGTTATTTCTGCCACTTTAGGCAGAAGACAAACCGAAAATCTTGAGTTGCTTCAGACTTTTTTTAGAAGGAAATGGCCTATACATATGTTTACGTAACTCAGTAAGATGCAGTGATGGCCCTGGTGCATCTCCCATATCACAAGCTCAGAGGAAACTTGCTCCCTTGTCCCCCCCGCAGCCATCCGGCCCTTGCTGGAGATCCTGGGGATGTGGTGTCAGCCCTTCTCCCAGAAGCAGCTGCAAGAGCAAGAGGCCCAAGCTCAGTGGCCATGTTTTAAGTGACATGGCAAAAACCGATGTCTCTCTCACCAAATCAGTGTCTCTCCGAGGTACTCAGTCTCCTGAAGTAACCTCTCTTTATAAAGGAGGAGTTTTGTTTCTGTTTTGTTACAGATTGATGTATGAATCAACAGACAGATTCGAATTGTGTGCCATACATCCTCCTTGTCCGTTAGATGAAATTCAGATTTAGGTGCATGGCTATGAGAGTCTGGCTCCATCTTTTACTGTCTCTGCTCTGACTCGTGTCCTTACCCAGGGTCTCTGTTTGCCTCTATCGTCTGTTCTGGCTTGTTGTCTCTCTGGTGTTTTCTCTCTGCACGTAGGTGTGCCCCATGCCCTCTGCAGCTGTCCATACCCTGAGTCTGAGTGCGTATGCCACTTTACGCCTGTGTGTGTCCACATCACCATCTTCTCCCCATCTCTTCACCTTTGTTTCTCTTCTGGTGTGTGTGTTTGCCTAGAGAGGCAGCTCCTTTTTCTGTTTCTGCCTCTCCCTACCCTTCTGTCTGCATCTGTCTTTCCCCATGCCTAAGTGTCTCTTTGCCTCTTTCCATCTCTGGCAAATCTATTTCTGCCTCTTCCTGCCCTGGGACCCTGGGGGATTGAGGCTCAGGTTTCTCTTCCCTCTGCCCAGGCCTTGAGGAGCTGGTTCTCTCAGAGATGAATTCACCAAGCCGGACCCAGACTGGGGACAGCAGTAGCGTCTCCTCCTTCAGCTACCGGGAGATCTTGCGGGAGAAGGAGAGCTCTACTGTTCCAGCCAGGGTAAGGGGCAAGGAAGAGCCTACAGCCCCAGCTTCTCCTGCCCAAACTCTAGGGCCCTCCTTTTTCTCTCCCCTGCAACCATCTCCTACTCTGGGCCCAGCACACACGTTTTCTTGTCAACTTTTCCCCAAGCTCACCGTCTTGAATTCAGGTTGCTAAATGGGAGGTGGGCAAATTATTCTCTCTGACCCTCGGTTTCATCATCTGTGGGCTAATTCCACCTTTCCTGCTGCCATAAAATATGTGGCTCATAGTAGGTGTCATCCATGTAGGAGGTCCTTTTGTCCAACTTATGATTATCACTTATTGTTATTGTCGTCTATCATGTCAGTGTCCTTGCCAGCCATTTTTATTTTTATTATTCTGTAAGTAGTATGTGTGCATTGTAGAAAAATTGTAAAAACACAAACAAGCAGAGCCAGTCCTACTGGCCTAATGGTTAAAGTTCAGTGCTCTCACTGCTTCAGCGGCCCGGGTCCAGCTGCCAGTCATGGAACCACACCACCCATCTGTCAGTGGCCATGCTGTGACGGCACCTCACATAGAAAAACTAGGACTTACAACTAGGATACACAACCATGCACTGGGGCTTTGGGGAGAGAAAAAAAAGAGGAAGATTGGCAACAGGTGTTAGCTCAGGACGAATCCTCCCCTGAAACAAAAAATCACAAACAAGCAAACAATTTTTTTTTTCAGGGGAAGATTCAACCTAAGCTAACATCTGTTGCCAATCTTCCTCCTTTTTCTTCCTCCCCCTGCCCTGCCCTGCACACCCCAGCAAAGCCCCAGTACATAGTTGTGTATAGTTGTAAATTCTTCTGGTTCTTCTATGTGAGCTGCTGCCATAGCATAGCAAAGATCTTTTTTTAAATCCAAAGAAATCACACCTTCACCATCCGGTGGTCACCACTATAAACCCTTAGTTCATATCCTTCCAGACCTCTCTTTTTTTAAAACCTAAATGAAATTATAAATAACCTGTTTTTGTTCAGCTGATCTCCACCTTCCCAATTTGGTAAATTTTCATCTCATCTAATACTTTGACCTTAATCAGATTTCTCTAGTTGGCCCCAAAGTGTCCTTTATTGCTGGTTGTATGAAAACCAGCATTCTGTTTCAGAGCACATGGTGCATCTGGTTGCTTTATGCCCCGTAAGTCTCTTGAACCTAGTGTGGGCCCTTTTTTTATGACACCAAACTGTAGAAGAGACCAGCCCAGTTGACTTGCAGAAAGTGTCCCACTTTTTGGATTCTCCTGCTGGCTTCCTGGTGGTATCATTGAGCCTGTTCTTCTCTCCCCTGGTTTTCCTGTCAACTGGGAGGTAGATCTCATTTGCCGCAGGCTCTCTCTTCATCCTCTCAATAAGGCTATGGTGTGGGAGTTCCTGTCACCCCCTTTAGGCCAAGGGGTATCCAGAGTCTCTGAAGCTGCCAAAACTTGCCTACAGCCCCAGTTGCAGAGCCCACCCCCTGCCCCTGGCTTGGTTCTCCTTCTCAGCCCCTGATCGTATCCGGGGCAGTGGTGCTGAGTCTGGGCTAGCCTCTCCCCTCCTCTTCCCTGCAGTCCTTATCCAGCAGCCCCCAGGCCCAGCCCCCGCGGCCAGCAGAGCTGTCAGATGAGGAAGTGGCTGAGCTCTTTCAGCGCCTGGCAGAGACACAGCAGGAGAAATGGATGCTGGAGGAGAAGGTGCTGTCTGCCTGCTCATCCCCACTTGGTGTGCCCTTGGCAAGGAGGCCGGGGTAGGGGGGGTGTCTGGCTGGGCCCCTCCTCATGTGTGAACATGCGCAGTTGAGGGGTCTGAGGTGGGCTGGGACACCTTGCAGGTGAAGCACCTGGAGGTGAGCAGCGCCTCCATGGCAGAGGACCTCTGCCGGAAGAGTGCCATCATTGAGACCTACGTCATGGACAGCCGGATCGGTCAGTGGCCCCTCCCCAGCCCTCATGGCTCATCCGGCCTCTCACCCGCTCCCTCCTTCCCCACTGTCCAGTGCTGCGGCTTCTCTCCTCTCCTCTTGAAACTCAGCAAAGTTACCGACAAGACCACAGCCCGCGGAGGGGAGAGCAGGGCAAGCCTGTGCCTGTGTGTCTTTCTCTCTGTTCTGTCTCTTATCTCGGCTCCTCCCTCTCTCCGGGCCTCTGTTCTCTCTCCACTCTCCTATCTCTAGCTGTCTCTCTGACCTCTGTTTGTCTCTTCCTCTTCTCTCTCATTCCCTTCTCTCTTCTCCCTGTCTCTCCTTTCTGCCCCATCCCCCTCCATCTTGTCTCACTGTTCCTGCCTGTTGATATTGTTACATTTCTCGAAATTTTCATTCTCTGTACATGTATCCCTTCTGGGGTCCTTATCTCTTCCTCTCCTGTCTCCCTCCCCTCTCCCATCTTCTCTCCTCTTTCTTCCCCCCTCCCCCGGCTTTGGTTTCTTTACTCCTTTTTTTCAAACCTTCTCCTCTCTCTTGTTTCCTTATTAATTGGAATAATACCAACTGAGACATGCTGCGGGTTGACTGTGTGCTCTGTGCTTCACATGCAGTCGTATACATGTCTCCAGCTCCATGAATTAGTTATTATCCTCATTTCTCAGGGCCGCACAGCTAATAAGTGACAGCCAGGTTTTACATGGTAAAGCTTTTGCCCCACTACATTACATGGCTTCTTCCCGACTTTTCTTCCCCGCTCTCTGTTTCCCTCTTTTCTGCCCTGTCTCTCTCTGTCTCTCCTCCGGCTCTGCCGAGAGGGTGGTTCTCAGCCTGGGCCCTTGCAGATGTATCTGTGGCAGCAGGCCACACAGACCGCAGCGGGCTGGGCAGCGTCCTGAGAGACCTAGTGAAGCCAGGCGACGAGAACCTTCGAGAGATGAACAAGAAACTTCAGAACATGCTGGAGGAGCAGCTCACCAAGAATATGCACTTGCACAAGGCGAGTGTGACCTACCAGCCTACCCATCTGTCCATCTGACCACCTGCCTACCCAACCACACAGCCCCTGGTCATCTGCCAGTCCCCTAATTCACCCACCCCATTCACCGACCCTTCACCCTCATCTTTATATCCTCCAATCAACTTACTATCAATTTAGTCTTACTCTCCCCTCTGTCCTCGCCTCTACCCACTCATCCATTCATACATACATTCACCCAACTCTCCCATCAACCCACCCTACCATTTGCCCATCTGCCCCCTACCCATTTGATCATCTGCCCCACGTCTTTCCACCCATTTCCTGACATACTGCTCTCTCTCTTAGCTACTCATCAATCACCCCTTGTCTTACCTTTCACCCACCTGCCCAGCAACCTGCCTGCCTGCTTGTTGTCCTCCATCTGTCCTCTTGTTTGCCTACCATGGATCTCCCATATGTCCACCCACATGTCCACTTGCCCATCCTGCCACCCAAATATTTCCCCCGTCTCTGGGGGAGTCAGAAAGAATGCAGACCCAGCCCCGGTCTCTGAGAAGCAAGCTCACCATTTAGTAGAAAAGAAGGTGGCGAGGGTGGGGGTTGTATCCTCCAGCCGCAGCATGCACAGCAGGCAGTCCACTCCCACATCCATATCCCTAGCTCCAGAGGTTCCCCACCCCCTCATACACACACACCTTTTCCAAGCCCAGCCCACTGCTCGGGGCTCTGTGAGTTTCTCCAAATACCTTCCTGTCTCAGGCTAGACATAGCTGGGCATTGATTAATGGGGTGAGAAGGACGACACCCCAGGCTTGGGGAGGGAGCCTCCCTTGTCACCTTCTCTGGCCCCTGATGGCTCGTTTGTTTCTTAGGACATGGAAGTCCTGTCCCAGGAAATTGTGCGGCTCAGCAAGGAGTGCGTGGGGTCCTCTGACCCAGACCTAGAACCAGGAGAAGCCAGCTAAAGACCTGCAGGCTGCATTCCCTCCCATACCCACTCCCCAGGACACCATTTCCTCGGGCTGTGGTGGGAAAATGGGGGCTGGTGCCAAAATCAAATATGTTGGGAGACTGGACATTAAACGGGTTGGAGGCCTGATGGCTGGTGTTAGTGACCCTGTCCTAGGGCAGAGGTCCCTGGGGAGTGGGGATTGTGAGGGGAGGGGCAGGGATTTCTCCTCCTCCTTGGCCCTGGCTCCCAGGGGCCTTTGCCTTCATCTCTGCATGAGCTCTCCCTCCCAGAGACCAACTCTTTTTTATTTTATTTTATTTTTTAATTTATGTCTGGAAGCCTGGCTACTCTGCATTTGGGATTGGGGATGTTGGGTGGGGCACGGTCCATGTTCAGCATTCTAGCAACGTGTGTGTGTGTCTGTAAAGGCTGTGCAGCCAAAATACCATCTGGCCAGATGGGCCCACCCATTGACTGTGTGCTCTCATTCTTTCTAACCTGGAGGGATGTGCTTGGGGTTGGGGGGAGGTCTCTGGCTGCAATTTTACTCTCCCTCCCCCACCCTCACCTGGCATGTCTCCAGTTAGTGCTGACCAGCCCCTCAAACTGAGTGGAACAGAAATATCTACAGATAATGTATGTGGGTGGATGTGTATGGGGCGTGGGTGTAGATGAGTGGACAGATGGGCGGATGGATAAGTGGTTGGATGGACTGATGGATAAATAAGTGGAAGGTTGCATGGATCGATGATGGATAAGTTGGGAAATAAATGGACAGATGAATGGATAGGTGATTGGATGAATAAATGGGTAGATGGATTGGTAGTAGATAGGTAGGCGATGGACAGGTGGGGGATGTAAGTGGACAAATGGATGGCTAGGGGAATGCATGGATGGATGAGTAATGAATGGAAAGAGTAAAGAGTAGGTGAATAAATGATGGCAGGGCTATGGATGGATGGACAGATAGATGGGTGGAGGGGGATACATATGGATAGGTTGGTGAATAGTTAGGTGGATGGAGTGAATATACAAATGGATGAGTGAGTAGGTGGGTGAATTAAAGACTAAATGGACAGATGGGCACGTAGAGGGCTTGGTAGAGTGGTTGTGTGGGTGGGAGAATGGATGGATAGGTGGGTGGTGGGTGGGCGGAGGGATGGAGAAATGGACAGATCAAGAGTGTGATGAGTGAGCAAATGGAGGATTGTATGGGTGGGTAAATGGATTGAAAGGCTAAAACTGGCCGTGCGTTACTGCTCCCCCATCGCCACACACCTTCAATTAGTAAAGATGAGGCCGCCTCTGTGTGCCATGCCCTGTGCCATCCCCTTTCACATCACTCTACTGAATGCTCCCACAACACTATCGAGTTGGGGTAACTGTTCGACAACTGAGGAAACAATGCAAGTCACTTGCTCAACAACACAGCAAGTCAATGGCAAAGCTGGGGTTTGAACCCACCAATGCTGGAGGCACTGGGTACCCAGTACTCTTGCCACTCAGGAGCAGAGCCCTCCAGGGGAGGAGGTATGATTTGAGGCTCCTAGATGTGGACAGATGAGACAGACTGCTCTTCAGAGTGGGGCCTTCCTGGGAGAGAACCTGGTATGGGGGTGGGACCTGGCTTGTCCCCACATGCACTCCCCTTACCGCCCATTTCACATCTGAAAACAGGGGAGGACAGGGCTCCAGCCCCACAACAGCAGTCTTGGTTAGAGCAGGGCTCTAACCCATGGCCCCCCCACCCAGGGAATAGCTTTGGGGGCCTGGCCATCTAGAGAAATGCCCCCCACCAATTTTCCCCTCACCCCCCCCTTCTTCAGCTCTTTTACAGCCTGGGGGGCAGGGAGGGGACACAGCGCTGCATCATTCCCCGTGGCACTCCGCTGTGGGGCCATTAACAGACGCCTCTCCATCGATCGGATCTGCTAAGTGCTGCTGATTCAGACGGGTGGGGGTGGGGACCCCTGGGGGCAGAGTGGGGTAGGAGCTGGGCAGGAAGATGGGGGAGTCCAGGAAGGAGGTGGGGAGAACTGGCAAAGCTCCCTGCCACCCCCATTTTCCAGATGACGCGACTGAGGCCCAACCAGCTTTGTAAGAGGCGGAGTCTCCCCAGGGTCCCTCTCGTGCTGTCCTAGGGGAGGGGGCTCTGGGAGCCACGAGGCCCCTCCCTGCCTCTCTCTCCATCTCCCGGCAAGCTCAGAGGGGCGGGGAGAGAGAGCCAGAGGAGGAGGAGAACTCGGGCAGCTCTGCAGAGGGGGGCAGGAGCTCCGGTGTTTGGTACCCCCAGCCCCACCGCTGTGGCCGCTGCTGCAGCGGGGACACAGGTGAGGACGGCCCTATGGGGAGGGGGAGGGGGCCACTAGCAGCGCTGTCCTTGTCATTCCCTGGTCCAGCCCCCACACCCTAACCCATCCTGGGACAGTCCCCAGGGGTCCTGCTGGACCTTGTCCTTCCAGAGCCTCCTTCCAGGGACCCAGCCCCCTCCCCCTGCCTTGCTGTCTTCTCCTCTCCCAGGCCTGGCTGTGGCTGTTTCTCCTCTTCCTTCTCCTTCTGCTGCCGCTTCTGCCACTGCCACTGCCGCTGCCCGGCACACACCGCCAGCCCCTCGGGGTGTGGTTTCCCCAGACCAGCCCCCAACGGTGGGACGCAGACTTATCCTGGCCTCCCCCATCAGCCTCCTGCAAGGCCCAGCAGCCCCCACTTCCTAGAGACACACCCAACTCCCTTTCAACATCCCACCCAGCTCTCCAACCCATTTTGGGGGGGACCCCCTCCTCCTGTTACCTTAGTCTTTTTCAGTCCTCTGGGTGCTCTGGGGCTGTGCCCAACTTCCTTCCAGTTGAGCCCCAGCCCCGCGGGATTCCCCAGCCTTTCCTCCCGCCGGAACTCTTGAGAGGGCACACCAGGCTTTCTCAGCCCCCCTAGATACCCCTCGCCCCGAGAGACCTCTCAGCCTCTGAAAAATAACCCAGCCCCATATCTACCCCTTTAGATACCCCACTCCCTTTTCCAGCCCCACTAGGGGGCCCCACCTCTCCTTCCTTCCCCAGAACTCCTGTAGAGTGTAGACACCACCCCCCCAGGCTATTCTTGGCAGCTCTAGGCACTCCCAAGACACCTTTCAGCCTCTTTACAACCTCCTGGCTCTATAGCCACCCCTTACATGCACCGACCCCTTTCCTAGATCCACGAGGGCGCTCCAACCCCCTTATCTTTTCCCCAGAAGTCTTGAGGGTGTAGACAACCCTCTTCACCTTTTTCAGACCCTCTCGAACCCCCTCCAGACACTCAGCCTCTTTCAAACACCTCTGGTCCCATTTCTCCCCTCTGAATGCCCCAATCCTCTCTCCAGCCCCGCTAAGGGGTCCAGTTCCTTCTTCCTTCCCTCAGAACTCTTGAGAGTGTGGACAACTCCCCAGTGTTTCTTGCCTGCCCCTCAGACACCCCCAGACATCTCTCAGGCACATGCTGACCCTTCTAGAATCATCTCAGTGGCTCTAAACACTCCCTCAGATCCTTCTTGGCCCCTCTAGAAGCCCGTTTTCAGTTCCTAAAGACATCCCGCAGGTCCTTCCCAGACCCTCTAAATGCCCCGAAAGCCCCTGCCTGTCTCTCTAGTTCCTCCTCCTGGTTCATCTTGGCCTCTCTAGACATCCCCAGTTTCCTTGTGCGAGTGGCCCAGGGCCTCTCCAAGCTCCCACCATCCTGGAGACAGCCACATTTTCCTAACGGCCAGCCTCCCAAGTCTCCGCGGGCCTGGGGCTCGGCACGATGGCGGCAGGTGTGGCCACGTGGCTGCCTTTCGCGCGTGCTGCCGCGGTGGGCTGGCTGCCCCTGGCCCAGCAGCCCCTGCCCCCGGCGCCGGGGGTGAAGGCATCTCGAGGGGATGAGGTTCTGGTGGTGAACGTGAGCGGACGACGCTTCGAGACATGGAAGAACACGCTGGACCGCTATCCGGACACCTTATTGGGCAGTTCGGAGAAGGAGTTCTTCTATGACGCCGACTCGGGCGAGTACTTCTTCGATCGCGACCCGGACATGTTCCGGCACGTCCTGAACTTCTACCGCACGGGCAGGCTGCACTGCCCGCGGCAGGAGTGCATCCAGGCCTTCGACGAAGAGCTGGCCTTCTACGGCCTGGTGCCGGAGCTCGTGGGCGACTGCTGCCTTGAAGAGTACCGGGACCGCAAGAAGGAGAACGCCGAGCGCCTGGCGGAGGACGAGGAGGCCGAGCAGGCGGGCGATGGCCCGATCCTGCCGGCCGGCAGCTCCCTGCGCCAGCGGCTCTGGCGGGCCTTCGAGAACCCACACACGAGCACCGCGGCCCTCGTTTTCTACTATGTGACCGGCTTTTTCATAGCCGTGTCGGTCATCGCCAACGTGGTCGAGACCATCCCGTGCCGCGGCCCCACGCGGCGGCCCCCGCGGGAGCAGCCGTGCGGCGACCGCTTTCCCCTGGCCTTCTTCTGCATGGACACGGCCTGTGTGCTCATCTTCACAGGCGAGTACCTCCTGCGGCTCTTCGCCGCCCCCAGCCGCTGCCGCTTCCTGCGGAGTGTAATGAGCCTCATCGACGTGGTGGCCATCCTGCCCTACTACATCGGGCTTTTCGTGCCCAAGAACGAGGATGTCTCGGGCGCCTTTGTCACCCTGCGTGTGTTCCGGGTGTTCCGCATCTTCAAGTTCTCCAGGCACTCACAGGGCTTGCGGATTCTGGGCTACACACTCAAGAGCTGTGCCTCGGAGCTGGGCTTTCTCCTCTTTTCCCTTACCATGGCCATCATCATCTTCGCCACTGTCATGTTTTATGCCGAGAAGGGCACAAACAAGACCAACTTTACTAGCATCCCTGCGGCCTTCTGGTATACCATTGTCACCATGACCACACTTGGGTGAGTGCAGACTCTGTGTTGGGAGCTGCCCCATCAGTCAGTTACACTCACCTTTCTGTAAAATTAAGGTTAGAGAAATGATCTCTTTCTATTTGAGCTTCAGTTTGCTCATCTGTAAAAACTGAGGGAGTTGGGCTAATCTCCAAATCCCTCCCAGCTCTGACAATTCCTTGATTTTCCAGGACAAGAGACTTAGGTTCAAGGATTGTCTTAGCTGCACTCTTTCTGTTGACCTTGTATTCTCTAGGCCTGCTTTCTCCTCTGTAAAATGAGAAATGACAATCCCCTCACCAGGTTGAGGGAATTCAATGATATCATGGTTGTGCAAGTTCTCTGAATGTTTCTAGTGCAGGATAAATACGGTACTGGCTTTCTATCACCCCTTTTTCCATCTTGAGGACCCCATTTTTCCCAACCCTCTAGAATCATCTGTTGTGTGAGGTACTACCTCTGTGGCTTCGTGATTCCTTGATGTTCCCCAGAACAAGATCTTTTCAGCATTATTTTTTTATTGCCAATCCTTGAGAGGGACCGGTTGGGATAATAGCATCGAATGGAATCACCAAACTCAGGTTA